AGTGTGTTTCGGGAAACGCTAGTTTTCGGAATTCCACGAATGTTTTTTATATAATACCGCGGTATACAGATATTGAACAGCTGCATATTGTAAACAATATTGTGCGGGACTAGCAGTGTTGCCAATCGACGGAAACGTTCCGGTTTGTGGACCTTTTTGGATCGTAGAGGAACTTTTTCGGTACCTTAAGTTTCGAGGAAGTTATCGAAACTTTTTGAAAAGAAGGGAGTTTTTAAAAAACTGAAACATTTTATATTATTCATCCAAAAAAATACCGGCAATCCCGTAAAGATTATAATAATGTTCTCTTTTATTTAAATTATTATTATATTACTACTGATTAATTTGTTATTGAAGATTATGTTCTCTATTATTGAAATTAATTGGTTCCTGGTTTGTTCTGTTTTTCTGCAAGTAGTTCTTTAACTGTTCCTAATTTGAATATTATTTTAATAAAAATATATTATATAAATAAGTGTATAAAGAGTAGCATTATTTTTAGTTTTTTCAGGTAGAATATTTTAACAATGAGAGTTGTAAAGATACTTTCCGATAGAAATGAAACAATCACAGGCAGCCACCTACGTGTGTACGCATTTACAAAATGAAAACAAAAACCAACACATCCTTCTCGATAATCGCGTTATCGCAGTTATCAAGCGTATCGAATGATTTGTTTGTTTTTCACTTGACATCCTCACATAACTTAAATACCAGGAAATACCTGCTGAGTCATTAATAATTACTAAAAAACGTTGCACATACATATATACAGGTTGTGAACTCATTTTTGGTCAAGCACGTTTATATCCGATTTTATTAGAGATTTGAATATTTTCATTGCATTGAACGCAACCCGTATGTAAATCAACAGACATAACGTGTCATGCTCATTTTATAAGTATTCTAAAACGTCTAGTAGCCTGGTGTCAAACTGACAAGCTCAGATGAATGCAATGGAAGCTTTGGTCTGCAAACTGATTACTAGCAAATACTCGGAAATATCTAGTAGCCTGGTGTCAAAGTCACAAACTCAAATGATGGCCTGATTAGTTCAGTTTCACGGGGGATTAGGTGCTAACGTTTGTTGGTTTTCATACTTTTAGCATTTAAATCCGTTTCCCAATAGTTTCTCGATCATTCAAATACTCAAGAAAGAATACTTTCATTGCATAGAGTAATTTACCTCAGTCCGTACGTAAATCAACCGTCATGACGTTTCATCCTCATTTTTAAAGTACTCTGTAACATCTAGTAGCCTGGTGTCAAACTGACAAGCTCAGATAAATGCAATGGAAGCTCTTATTTTCAAATATTTTGGAATATAACATAATATAGTTAGCAGAATACAATTTTAAATGACATTGGGATTTACCTAGAAGTTTTTTTCTTACCATTATTTGCCTGGGCAGAGAAAAGCTAGCTATTACTGGAGCGCGACAGCCAATGACGGTGATTGCTCGTATTTATACGTATATAACTACATTTCCTCACTTACCATTCAATACTTCTGTAGCCTTTGGCACAGCAATGCAGTCCTTTGAACTTCCCTACGACAGCAAACTCCTCGAAAGTCGCTTCTTTCGAAAAATGCATTTGTAAATTGTCACTGTTGTTGAAAGTATTTATGGAACAGTAGTCCTGGATGGCCAACACATGGAGAAAAAACAGCGGGAACACGAAAACGCCGTTTGGGATCATGTTTCTTCCTGTCGGTTTTTCGCGAGAATATTAACCAAGTTGCGCCGGTGTAAACGGAGTTTTAGGGAGAATTGCGAGAGTGTCAATTATGTCGGAGTCATAGCACGTGTTCTTGAGAGTCTTCTGTGTTTTTCGATGCACCGGTTTTGCCGATTCGAAGCGAGGACGGAGCTACAGGTGTCTACACGATACGCGCACTCATCGCCGCGTTTGCAATATGAATGAAGTCGGACGGGAATACCAATGTTTTCTCTGGCCGGCCGGCGTGGAGTCGCCATGTTGCCAGCGCTCGACAAATGTGGCGGAAGCTGCTACGTTCGCACTTTCACCATTTTTGTATGTGGTTGAAAATGAGTTGGAACAACGAATTTGAATATGCGTGAGTATGCGTGATTTTAGTGCAAACTTTTGACTCATTTGTATACCAATACCTACCAAAATGACAGCGTTGTATCAGCATAATAATAATACTTAACTCGTGGAAACATATAATAACTTCGTTAGCCATTCTTGGAATTTTGAAGATTGAAAACTGAAGAGTGGGAGAGGGGAGGTGGGGCTCACCCATGAAAGAAAAATCGTTATTGGTGCGTGGGGCCTGCAGCATACAGCATAAATCATCATCCTGTACCTTATGTGAGCGAATCGAGATTGGCCACTATTCAATTTTCACAAAGGAATTCACTTTCAAAAGCATTGATGCAGAAGACCTCCCTCGCCGGTCTTCAAACATTTTTATTTTTACTGAGAAATACCCAAATTTGACACATTTTCTAATTAGGTGATATTTCTCCTTTTCAATATGAAAGAAATGAGAATTCCGAATACTAGTGTTTTCTTTGGCCGATCGCATCGGTGTGTATCCGCCATGTTGCCAAGTCTCGCAAAAATGATGAAAGCTTCCACCATTCTTATATGTGGTGGAAGTGCGGCGTTAATACAGGGAAATTAGCTTCAAAGCAGTGAATTTTATACAAACTAATGCTTGGTTGTTCGAAGAGGTTTTTTCGATAAATAATTTAACGTGATATTTCCCGTTTTCAATATTAAGCCAGAATGCAATCAGAATCGCGTGTAGCCGCGAGGTTGAAAGGTTTCGCAAGTGACGTATAGCTGCGACGTTGTCAGGCCTTGCGAATGTCGTAAGAGCTGCTACATTTCCACTTTACACAATTTTATCGTTATAAGTGGAATAGCAGTGAACGTGCAGTTTTAGTACAGGCAAATTAGTTTTAAAAGGAAATGTACAATGTTAGAGTCAGGCTTTAAAAAAACTGATTTCTGGATATTTTGAGGTACACTTCGAAAAAATGTTTATCACTGGTATATGTACAGGGTGTTTCAGTTTATTGTTGCATAACTTTAAGATTCGATAGAACTTTTAAAATTAATGCATAAAGTCTATATAAACATGGGTCGAAAATTCGGAAATACAGGGTATTTAAATTTACTTTCTAAAATAGTTTTTTTTTAAATATTTCGAACAATATTTGAAGTATAACAGTGGTATACAAGGGTTTTTTGGTACGACAAAACGAACCATGGGCATAGTTTTACTGTAGCCGCTAGAGGGCGCTCTCTACTGTACCTGTAGTGTATTAAAATGACCGAAAAAATTCTCTTAGTGCAAGTGCTTGCTTTTTGAATAAAAAAACTGATTCTTCGCACTTTTAAACATAAAAAAGCTCTCTTGTGAATTTTCGTAATAGTTAGCCGTTTTTGAGATATTTCGATTTTTAAGGTTCGATGCATTTTTAATTATCTATGATAAAATAACGATAAAACGTCAGTAACTCGATAATTTTTAGAAGTGGGCTGTGCCTGCAAATATTTTTGAAATTGAAAGCAAAATAAGGTTAAACGTCAATTAGTTGACAGTTAGTTTTGTTGTCTGTTGAAACCTGAAACTTTTTTGCAATTGTGAATGCACGAAATTTAGTTTCTTTTACTTGTTTTTTTTTTTGTAAGTTTTATAAAAATGCCATTTTTATTTTCCAATCAAGAGTTAGCGGATATTCATTTTGTGTATGGCTTTGTAAATGGAAACGCAGCAGAAGCAGCCAGAGAATACGCACGAAGATTTCCAAACAGATGACATCCAACTCGCTCAGTATTTGTAAGAGTGCATCGCCAAATAATTGAAAATGGTTTTGGAAATCTCCAAGCATTTTAGTTGTAAATAATTAATTTAATTTGTTAAAAATAATGTTGGAAAATTAAACAAATTAATATTGTTTTTTGTGTTTATTTGGAGTTAGGAATTATTGCTGTGTTTAAAAACACAATCTAAACGATCATCTTAATTACTTGTAATGCCCAAATCGAAAATGTAAAAAAATATTATTTTCCCATAAATAATTAAAAATGCATCGAACCTTAAAAATAGAAATATCTCAAAAACCGCTAACTATAACGAAAACTCACAGGAGAGCTTTTTTATGTTGAAAAGTGCGAAGAATCAGTTTTTTTATTCAAAAAGCAAAAAATTGCACTAAGAAAAATTTTTCGGTCATTTTAATACACTACAGGTACAGTAGAAAGCGCCCTCTAGCGGCTACAGTAAAACTATGCCCATGGTTCGTTTTGTCGTACCAAAAAACCCTTGTAAGTATACCAATTTTCACTGTTATACATCAAATATTGTTCAAAATATTTAAAAAAAACTATTTTCAAATGTAAATTTAAACACCCTGTATTTCGGAAGCCACGCATTTTTCGACCCATGTTTATATAGACTTTATGCATTAATTTTAAAAGTTCTATCAAATCTTAAAGTTATGCAACAATAAACTGAAACACCCTGTATATTTTTTAAGCGGATTTTTCCAGTTTTTGCTGAAAGATCGTGGTAACAGTACAACAAATTTCGATGGCCTCCATAGCTCGACATGAGGTACACATTTTAAATATGGTCGAGACAAAGTCAGCAAAAAATATTGCAAGTTTGCAAAAAATTCCAAGCTGAAAATTGGTAGATACATTAAGTACATTTTTGTATAATGTGTGTTTATGGTATCTCTGTCTCTTATGGAGAAATATGACAAAACATGAGATTTTTGACATAGTTCCACTCCAAGGATATAGGAGGAGTTTCAATATATCATAGGTGTATCCAAGAACTGTGCAAATTTTCAGCTTAGTGGAAATTTTGCCAAATCTAATTATTTTGACTGGAGCAATAGTCTGTTCTTCTCGACAGTTGAAGTGAAAGTGGGTTGTCTAGAGGCTCTGCATAAAAAAGGCATAAATGTGCAAACCGCTCTTATCGAAGTAGTAATAAAAGACACCAGAATAAGTAGGCACGACTTTAATAAAAAATATATAATTTACATAATGTAATATGAGGAATATACATATATACAACTTGACACTCAACGTCAATAATAAGTAAATGTAGATATTTTTGTACTATTATTTTTACGTTATCCATAATGCTAAAAATAATATTCCTTATAGAATAGTATGTATATAAAAAAAATGTACAACATATATCAAAACACAAAATATCATTATGTTGAAACTCTTAATAGCTGCATAATAAACTCAATCTTTCTAGAATTTCCTATTTTATGATCCGAACATTTCTTCATACTCCTGAATGAGCTGAGCAGCAGTAGGTCTGCTTTTGATATCATGTTGCAGACACCTTTGAATCGTTTTTATAAACATTGGGGGGATCCAGTCCGCTTTTGGATACTCCACTTTGTAGTTAGGATTCATTATTGTAGCCAAGGTTGCCCATATATTAGTGCCCCTTGGAAAAGGAGTAGCTCTGTAGACCAACTGATATAGAATACAACCAAGCGACCAGACATCAGATTTGAAGTGTAACTTATACTTTGGACTTGAAGGATTTGACGTATCACAGTTGAGCGCTTCAGGGCTGATATAGCTTTGAGTACCTTCCTGAGTTGATTTGGTAGCGCTGGTCATGTCAGTTTGTACAGACGATGCTATACCTAGAAGAGCAAAAAAAATTATAGACTCAGATTCAAATTTGGCTGACGTAAAATCGTCTTACAACGTTTCAGAAATTCCTGCTGATTTTCAGACATTGTTTGGAGGGGATCAAAATTGTAGGTTGGAACCTGTACGCGGTAAATGGTTGTTAACTGTTACATATTTGGTGTCGGTGAAAGGAATGGAATCATCAAAATGTACGACACTACCTTTTTATAGGTTTTAAGGTTATAAATTCCAAAATAGTCCTTATTTGATCATGGTTCCTTAATATCTTTCAACTACATTGCATTTGTATATGATAAAGCAACTATCTAGAAGTATTTTATAGGAAAAATGAACAAAGTATAACCTTATTTGTACATACAGCAAAAACGGTGACACTTTTATATAGGTAATTCAATTCAATTCAATGGACTTTATTGTAACACATACATAATTATGTATCCTTACAAATGGCGGAGTCTGGCCAATGGCCATTTATACTTAACCATAAATGTCATGTCAATGCTTATTAATACCTCAAAAATAAAATAAAAAACTGAAAAAGAAAAGGAAAAAGAAGAATAATAGTAAAAGAAGAATTAATAAATATGACATAATGCGTACGATTAGAACAAAAAACATAATACGTACGATTCAAAGAGAAGACAATAACCTAAGAGCTCAATAAGTAGTTCTTATATTTTTTTTTAGAAAAGTTGCTGATGAAACATCGTTCGAAAGAGTTGATCAATTTCACCACATTATACGTAAAAGATCGTTGAAAAATGGCTGTCCTATGTTGTGGCATTGTCAGGAGATTAATGTTGCGCGTAGTCAAATTGTGAATTAAATTCCTACGAACAAGCTTTTGCATAAGATAAACCGGAACAGAAGTTTTTAATATTTTTACGACAAATGTAACAAAGTTGTATTTGAAGAGATCTGAAATTTTCAACCAATTCATTGAAGATATTGAGTGAGAAACATGATCGTACCTTCTTAAATTGTTTATGTAACGACTACATGAGTTTTGAATTTTTTGCAGTCTGTATTTTGTGATTTCATCCAGACAGGGATAATAAACTATGTTGCAGTAAGCGATTTTACTGAGTATGAGTGACTCGCATAACATTTTCTTAATTTTTCTATTTAAAACAGTTTTACTTGCATATAGAAGCCTGAGTCTAAAATAACTAGACTTACACACATAGCCAACATGATCCTGAAATCTCAAATCTTCATCCAAGTACAAACCTAAATTTTTTGCAGAATGGGAAAATATTAGGATACTATTATTTAGTGATAAATTTAACTTTGATTTGAGGAAAGTACGTTTTTTCTTGGAGCAAAAAAGTATAGCTGTCGATTTCGATGCGTTTAGACGTAAATTATGTTTTGCAGCATATGTGCATAAGTATTGCAGATTTTGATTGATAAGGTTGTTAGCTAAATGGTAGTTGTTCGGACAGAAATTATGAAAAACCTGCATATCATCAGCATATGATTGACTAGAACAATGTTGAAGGGTGTTAGAAATGTCAAAGGTGTATATAAGGAATAAAAGTGGACCTAATATGGATCCCTGAGGCACGCCGGAACAAATCGGCCTTTTATCTGAAAGTTTATTTTGTATGACAACATATTGATGTCGTTCATTTAAATAGCAATCTATCCATTCCAGAACCAAGTCGTCACACCCAATGTATTTATATTTAGAAAGTAACAGCCTATGATTCAGGATGTCAAAAGCCTTGCTGAAATCCAATAAGACTAATGCAGTTGCTTCTTGCCTATCCGCCGCTGTTAGTACATCGTCACAAACCCGTGCCAAAGCGGTAGTGGTACTGTGATCCTTTCTAAAGCCTGATTGATTTAATGGCAAAATGCTGCGTTCGAGTAAATACTCATTCAACTGCATATAAACTATTTTTTCTAGAATTTTTGATACGAGCTGACAGCAAGCTAATAGGTCGGAGATCACCAGGAACCTGGGGATTGGGAATCTTTGGAAGAGGTTGCACTAATGCTTCCTTCCAAGCACTTGGAAAAACACCGCGCTCTAAACAACAATTTATTAAGTGCAAAATGTATATTTCTACAGCAGGTAGACACAATTTAATCATCTCAATGGTAATGCCATCAATACCACTAGAATTGTACTTGATACTGCGAATAGCATACAATACTGTAGATATATCGACAAGACGGAACTGAAAATGAAAATCTTGGTTTAATTTGTTATGGCTATAAAATTCGATAGTTTCCGAGCAATCATCGTCACTTTTCTGGAATATACTGGTAAAATAGTTATTTATTTCATTGGGAACTGCTAAATCGTCTGGAATGTCAGTATTACTAGAATCCTGAATTCTAAATGACTTAAGAGCTTTATAAAGGTAAGTTTTTGTTTTCTCCTTAAGTTTGTCGTGGTACTTATTGGACACCCTATATAGTTAGGTGATAAAAAGTTTCCGCTTTTATTAAAATAAAAACAAGAACAGCGGATTTTCTGCGGAAATCGAATCTAAACCAAAGCTCAAAATGTTTTGCCGCAATTAGCCGACACCAAAAGTCTGACGCTAACAGCAGAACAAGTCCTTAATTTTCTTATGACGTTGAGAGCCCGGCACACGCTGCGAGAAGATGCCACCGGCAATTACTTGAATGTATGTCCGCGGGGTACTCCTCTTTGAAGTGAATGTGAATATGGCGTGCATAAAAAGACGGATACCCGTATATCGTCTCGTAATTCATATTTTTTTACAGATAGACATCAATGTGTTCCTTACCGAAATCAATCAGTTTGAGGCCACTTCCAGCTCGCAAGAAATTTGCTGGTTTGAGATCGGCGTGTATAACGCCATTCTTATGGATCTGATTGACCGCATACAGCATTTCCATCCAATAGAATAGAATCATATAAACCGGAAGATGATCATGTTGTGCTTGCAAACTTTTCAAAATCTTCGATAGATCTTCGCCACCCTTCTCTAGTACTATGTACAACTGCTGTTCGGTTTGGATCAGTTCGAAATCGTACATTTTTATAATCCTGTCGCATATTTGTAGCCTCTGCAGCAGTTCAATTTCCTTAATGTAACCTGCAAGTTAAGCATTTCATTTCATTTATTTATTGGTGCTTAATACACAGGGTCACAGTAGAAGTCAAATTACAAAAGTGTGAATTCACAAAACAACAATTTGTTATGTTGTTGGAAAGAATTAACAGAAAAACTGAAAAATGATATTATGAATTTAAATTAAATGCAAAACCATAGAACAAGCACATCCAAACAAATTAACAAACAGAGCAAAAGTAAAAAGGCACACGACAAAACCATTGTAAGACATACGAAAAGTTATTATTTAAAAATTCTTCAACAGTATTGATAATGTAAGCTGTAATTCCAAACTTACTACTGACACAGAAAAATTTTACTCTGTCTATAGTAATGACATTCTGGTAAAGTAGTGAAGTAGATCAATCGATTTGCTACTACAGACCATTGTTGTGTCATCAGGTGTCTGTTTGTAAAGGGTGTCTCAGAAATATTTTCGTTTTTAGATCAGTCCTCTGGCGGAATACGCATGCTCCGGAGAAACGAGACAGTTGACAAACGTTTGGCAACATTGTTAAATTTTAGTTGCAATGGAGCGTTTTACAGGGCCGCAACGTGCTTTTTGTGTTCGCGAGTTCTATAAAAACAAGGATTCTTATGTGCTTGTACGTCGTTTGTACAGAAATCATTATAACATAGCAAGAATGAGAGATGTCCCAAGCGCAAATTTAATTAAATATTGGGTAAGAAAGTTCGAGAGCACTGGAAACACGTGTATTAGTAAACCGCCTGGACGGCCAAGGTCAGCAAGATCGAACGAAAATATTGAACGTGTGCGCCAGTCCGTTAACGAGGATCCCCGGCAATCATTAAGACTGCGTGGAGCGTCTCTAACTTTGCATAAGTCAACTGTTCATCGCATTATTCGCAAGGATTTGCATTTTCACCCATACAAGATTGTTGTTACACATCAATTAAAACCACAAGATCCCGCTAATCGATTAGAGTTCTGTAGAACAATGAGAGAGCATTTTAACGGTTACAACAACATATGGTTTTCTGATGAATCGAATTTTCACATTAACGGGCATGTTAATAAACAAAACTGCCGATATTGGGCCGAGCAGAACCCGCAAAATCTTCATGAGACGCCATTACACTCGCCTAAAGTTATCGTCTGGGCTGCTATGTCAGGGCAAGGAATCATTGGCCCGTATTTTTTTGAAGACAATCGTGGCCAAGCTCAAACTGTAACATCTGAGCGCTACTGCCACATGATTAGGACTTTTTTAACTCCAGCTATACAGAACCATGGTGGCTACAATAGAAAAACGTTTTTCCAGCAAGATGGAGCGACTTCTCATGTCACGAATGAATCCTTGGATGCTCTTCATCAGTTATTCCCAGAGAGGGTCATCAGTCGCAGAGGAGACATTAACTGGCCACCGAGAAGTCCCGATTTGACACCAGCAGATTTTTTCTTATGGGGATACCTGAAGAGTAAGGTATACACCCCACCGCCACAAGATTTGAGAGAGTTGAAGCAAAAAATAACAGATGAAATAAACGCCATTCCTCGAGCAATGCTTCGGAGAGTGATCGAAAACTTCAGTTCGAGATTAAGAGAGTGTGAAAACATGAACGGTGCTCATTTATCCGATACTCTTTTCCATAAATAAAATTAGTGTTTAGGCTTTCGTTTGGTAATAAATTTATCTTTGTAAAAATATTCTAAGTATTTTTATTTATGGCATAAAATAAGAAAATATTTATGAGACACCCTTTAGTACAATTAGGAAGGTCATTTATGTATATTAAAAAAAGAAGTGGACCCAGCATAGAGCCCTGTGGGACGCCACATCAAACTGTCATTGTAATGGAAGTAGGGTTGTTGAAGATTACAAGCATTGATTATTATCCAGGAAGATACCCAACCCTGTATTGGGATGTTCACATAATAATTTCCACTTTTACCACATCCATGTTGCCAAGTACTATCTCAATAATTTATAATACCCATGGAAAAAATATAAGCAGACACCAATTTCCTTCTAAAGGAAACTGTTATATGATATATGTTATATGCTCAGAATTTCTCAATGGTCGTAGTAGTAGTAGACATTTATTTACTCCATTATAATTATAAGAACAATAATAACATAGAACGGGTAAAGGAATTTTTCAATCCACAGAAGTACAATGCCTGTACATGGATCAGTTGTATGTTGGAATGTGTTCAAAAACCAAAACAAAAAAGTGAAGCGAAACTTCAAGAAAAAATGATGTCAAAGAGGTGTATATATAGAGGATGATATTTTTTTAAGGAATATAAGGATATATAGATAAGGAAATTCAAAGTCGTGCAAGTGGTCAAGGTGACTCCTAAAGATGCTGGTATACAGCAATAAGCATTAATAAGCAGGCACAGCATTCAATTGGCAAAGGGCATTAGATGAGAAATTTCTAGGATTAGTTGGAATCTGTATTAGATATAAACTTAATTTTGCTAAAAACACTATATACGTTAGGTATGCTTCAAATTCGAATTTCACCTTTGGAATACTTTATAGGAGCAAGGTGTGTAGGTAAATCAAAAAATGGAACCTAGACACTTCTGTAATTCAAGTTAGTATTTCCGAATTTATTTTGAGCCGTGTTACTTTCTCCTGGCATAAGTCCAAAACAAAACTTCATATTATCAAATTTCAAACAATCACACAATAACATTGCCACTTTTTCTCTCTCTACATGGTGGCGTAATTAGAATTTCAATCTGACGTTTCAGCTCTCAGTTTTTTAAAATTGAACTGTTTTATATATATATATGTTACACTTTGGCTTTGTTGGAACGAAGTCATTATGTTGTTCCTCATTCAATCAGTTTAAACCAACTATATGGAGTTGGACACGTGAAGTTTTATATCAATGACTCCATGATAATTTCAAAGCTTTCTCTATAAAAAATATTCTAATACAGCAGACGCTCGATAACGTAAACACGGGATAATGAAAACTTGCGCTAATGTAAACACAAACTTCGTTCTATAGGAACAAACGGAACGCACGATAACGTAAACAATGTGTACGCTCGATAACGTAAACAACTCTCGGCGTAAGGAAACAGCGCGACGGTAAAGTGCTGAAGCCTCGATGATTTATGTCGGGCGTCGGGGAGTCCCCGATTTGAGAGTGTAGGGGATTCACCTCGACAAACTCGGTCAGTCGTATGATCGTTTAGGATACGTTCATACGTACGTATGTATTTTATTTTTGAACTTAAGTGAATACATTGCACGCGTTAATATATTTTACGACTATGGCATCCACATCCTATAAGAGAAAGTGTTTAAAGTTGAGTGAGAAAGTGAAAATCATAGACGAAGTTGCACTAGGTGCGGGAGTGACACAGTTAGCAAAAAAATATGGAGTATCGAAAGCAACAATCTGTAAAATTAAGCGTATGAAAACTCAAATTTTACAAAGAAAGTGCAATACATTTGGAGGTCCGGGAAAAATAAAAACTTTAAAAAATGCGAAGGCACCTAAAATGGAAAATTCCTTGTATAAGTGGTTTTTAAAACAACGGGAAAATCATGTCCCAGTTAGTGGCGAAGTACTTAAACAGACAGCGAGACTGTTAAATGAAAAACTGAAAGAAACTGAAAATTTCGTAGCTAGTGATGGCTGGCTACAAAGATTCAAAACAAGATATGGAATTCGACTGCTGTCTATATCTGGTGAAAAATTATCAGCACAACCACAATTAGTGCAACCAAGAAAAATTGATGAAAACAATTACCGAGCTAGATTTAAGAATGGAACAAATTTACAACGCAGATGAAAGTGGCCTTTATTGGAAAATGTTACCAGAGAAAACCTATGCTGCATCATTTGAAAAATCTGCCGCAGGAAGAAAGCCGGAGAAACAACGAATAACGTTTCTAGCCTGCACTAATGCTAATGGTTCACACAAAATAAAGCCACTGGTAATTGGGAAAGCAAAAAATCCGCGCTCATTTAAAAATGTTAATATCCCTGTTGATTATGACTGTTCAAAAACTGCTTGGATGACTAGCAGTATATTCCTGAAATGGTTCCGCAGGTGCTTTGTCCCTCAGGTATGACAATCACTTATCACAAATGCTCTATTCATAATTTGAAGATGTGTTTTCAATTTGTAGGTAAAAGGTTTCCTAAAACAACAGAGGCTTCCAATAAAACCGTTGTTACTATTGGATAATGCACCAAGTCATGCTCCCGAGCAACAACTGAGGAGCAGGGATGGGTCAATTTTCGTCATGTACATGCCGCCCAACGTAACACCGTTAATTCAACCGATGGACCAGAATATAATAAGACTCACCAAACTATACTATAGGAAGTTTCTACTTTCGTCTGTCTTATCAAAGAATCCTGAAAACTTATCTGAGGCTTTAAAAAAAGTAACATTACGAGAAGCTGTTTTAGATTTACATATGGCCTGGAATGAACTTAACCAGCAAACTATTCAAAAATGTTGGAACAATCTCTTTTGTACCAATAATGAAGATGATGAAGAAGACGATGTCCCTTTAAGCGTAATTAGAGAACGTTTGCGATCCAATAATGATAATGTTATTAGTGTGTCATTGGATGTTGTTGATTTATTGAAAACAGTGAATCCCAACATTGTTTGTACTCCTGCTGATATTAATTTATGGAACGAAGATAAGCAGACGAATGATGCTGATAAGGAGGAGGATATAGACAGTGAGGATGATGAGAACGATCCCATTGAAGTCAGAAGTGTAGTGACTGACGCGCAAGCTGTACAAGTTTTTAACCAAGCTTTAGATTGGGCTGAACGAAAAGAAGTTTCATACACGGATATTTTAGTTCTTCGTAAATTACGGGCGCAGGCATTGGAAGACAATGCTAAGCGCAAATTTACGCAGACAAAAATTGTTAATTATTTTTCTTCTAATTAAAAAAATACTTATCGCTGTTAGAATATTTGTTTATTTTGTTATAAATAGTATGTATTAAACGTTTCTTTTAATAAATGAAATATTATATAAATCACGTTCGCTAATGTAAACATTTCGATAATGTGAACCACACTTGGATTAAATTAGTTTACATTATCGAGCGTCTGCTGTAATGTATGACATGATACATATTTGAAATCAGAAATAAAAGCTATTCACTTATGCAAAAATGGCATACATACGAAGAATCAAAGTTGAGACGGGGATAAGAGACGAAAATTCCTGCTAATGTTCTATTTATGCCATCTTGCAGAGATCAAAAAGTGGCAGTGTCAATGTGTATCTCGAATAAATTCGGAAAAAATTAGAAAAGATTTTGGGAAAATTCGATTTCTTTTCGGTATATTTCTGGAGATAGTGGAGCATCAAAACTTGTCAAATGCATTTTCTATGTACCTCTTACCGTTCCGTAGATCACAATGGTGAACATATTACAAATTTGTTTTTCAAATCATTCTAGAATAAACATATCCTTCCACCTATTTTAATAAACTATTTTTTGCTATATGACGGATTTTCAAGTAATTGTAGAAAAATCAACGAACAAATATCCACAAACAGAAATTATTTATGATAATAATAATAGTAGTGTGCATCATCCACAATTTTTGTAAATAACATCATTTATTGATTGTGTTTTATAAATGGAGATATTGTCCAATTAGATACTAAAAACTCAACCTTTTGTAGCAACAATTACGTCGCTGGATAGCTTGAGCATTTTTAAATATTTTTTTAAATGTTAATCACTACAAAGGCTTTAAGTTTTGGCTACTATTTTATATTTACTCTTATGCACTTTTCTGCAAAAAATGAACGTTTTTTTGCAATAGAAATTAAATGTGGCAACAAACTGGACATAGATACCCATTTTGAAGTTCTCATCCCTTTCCCAATTCTATAGACTTATAACTTTTAAGTATAGAAAAGTTACCCAGAATTTTTTATTTAGAGATGAGGGGCCGTTGCATTCACTCTAAAGAATATATACAGTAATGGACAAAAGTATATAGACAAATTAATATTGTGCTATATTTCTTTGTTAACTTGTTTTATTAATACACCAACCATACATAAATAGATTCATTAGACTCCATGTTTGATAGTGGGCAAAGTGTACTTAGGGTTCAATCTTTGTCCACTAGGACGTCTAGCGTAATGAACACCAACTGATCCAAACATATTGAACTTGGATTCGTCACTGAAACATACCCTCTTCCAGTCACAGATGATCCAATCAATATGCAACCGTGCAAATTGTAATCGGTCCTTACGGTTTTGCCGACCACTTCTCTTAGAGGCTTCCAAGATACCTTTTTGTTTATATTTGTTCAATATTGCCCAAACTGCTTCACCCTTCAGCTTCAAATTTTTGGCATTGTCGACTTGACGTTGACCATCTTTGTATAACTCATTGATCTTAGTTTTTACATCGAAACAAATTTCTGGACCATGCGACATGGTCTTAAAATTCAATTCAATTCAATGGACTATTATAACACATACATAATTATGTATCCTTACAAATGGCGAAGTCTGGCCAATGGCCATTTATACTTAACCATAAATGTCATGTCAATGCTTATTACTACCTTAAAAATAAAATAAAAAACTGAAAAAGAAAATGAAAAAGAAGAATAATAGTAAAAGAAGAATTAATAAATATGACATAATGCGAACGATTAGAACAAAAAACATAATACGTACGATTCCAAGAGAAGACAATAACCTAAGAGCTCAATAAGTAGTTCTTATATTTTTTTTAGAAAAGTTGCTGATGAAACATTGTTCGAAAGAGTTGATCAATTTCACCGCATTATACGTAAAAGACCGTTGAAAAATGGCTGTCCTATGAACAAGCTTTTGCATATGATAAACCGGAACAGAAGTTTTTAATATTTTTACGACAAATATAACAAAGTTATATTTGAAAAGATCAGAAATTTTCAACCAATTCATTGAAGAAATTGAGTGAGAAACATGATCGAACCTTCTTAAATTGTTTATGTAACGACTACATGAGTTTTGAATTTTTTGCAGTCTGTATTTTGTGATTTCATCCAGACAGGGATAATAAACTATGTTGCAGTAAGCGATTTTACTGAGTATGAGTGACTCGCATAACATTTTCTTAATTTTTCTATTTAAAACTGTTTTACTTGCATATAGAAGCCTGAGTCTAAAATAACTAGACTTACACACATAGCCAACATGCTCCTGAAATCTTCATCCAAGTACAAACCTAAATTTTTTGCCGAATGGGAAAATATTAGGATACTATTATTTAGTGATAAATTTAACTTTGATTTGAGGAAAGTACGTTTTTTCTTGCAGCAAAAAAGTATAGCTGTCGATTTCGGTGCGTTTAGACGTAAATTATGTTTTGCAGCATATGTGCATAAGTATTGCAGATCTTGATTGATAAGGCTGAAAGGCTGTTAGCTAAATGGTAGTTGTTTGGACAGAAATTATGAAAAACCTGCATATCATCAGCATATGATTGACTAGAACAATGTTGAAGGGTGTTAGAAATGTCAAAGGTGTATATAAGGAATAAAAGTGGACCTAATATGCATCCCTGAGACACGCCGGAACAAATCGGCCTTTTGTCTGAAAGTTTATTTTGTATGACGACATATTGATGTCGTTCATTTAAATAGCAATCTATCCATTCCAGAACTAAGTCGTCACACCCAATGTATTTACATTTAGAAACTAACAGCTTATGATTCAAGGTGTCAAAAGCCTTGCTGAAATCCAATAAGACTAATGCAGTTGCTTCTATCCTATCCGCCGCTGTTAGTACATCGTCACAAACCCGTGTCAAAGCAGTAGTGGTACTGTGACCCTTTCTAAAGCCTGATTGATTTAAGGGCAAAATGCTGCGTTCGAGTAAATACTCATTCAAGTGCATATAAACTATTTTTTCTAGAATTTTTGATAGAGCTGACAGCAAGCTAATAGGTCGGAGATCACCAGGAACCTGGGGATTGGGAATCTTTGGAAGAGGTTGCACTAATGCTTCCTTCCAAGCACTTGGAAAAACACCGCGCTCTAAACAACAATTTATTAAGTGCAAAATGTATATTCCTACAGCAGGTAGACACAATTTAATCATCTCAATGGTAATGCCATCAATACCATTAGAATTAGACTTGATACTGCGAATAGAATCCAATACTGTAGATATATCGACAAGACGGAACTGAAAATGAAAATCTTGGTTTAATTTGTTATGGCTATAAAATTCGATAGTTTCCGAGCAATCATCGTCAGTTTTCTGGAATATACTGGTAAAATAGTTATTTATTTCATTGGGAACTGCTAAATCATCTGGAATGTCAGTATTACTAGAATCCTGAATTCCAAATGACTTAAGAGCTTTATAAAGAGCTGCAGAATTTCTTTGTCGAGATAGATGTTGAAGGTAGCCTGATTTCTCTGCACGTGTAGCAGTTTTTGTAAAATTTCTCAGTTCATTGTAATGATTTCGATTCGCATCCGTTCGAGACCGTCTATATTTATGAAAAGCCTTATCTTGTTCTTTCATTATCATTTTCAAATTGTTTGTGAGCCATGGTGCACGAGGCTTAGACACTCTCACTGTTTTTAGTGGTGCATGTATATCAAAAAGTCCTACAATGTTATCGGAAATCAATTTTACTTTCCTATTGATATTAGCCATATAAATAAAATCACTTAACTTATTCCATAATACTTGATGAACACAAAATAATCGTCTTCTGACACGAAACTGTACTGAACTAACGTTGAAAATAATTTGTCTACATATTTTTGTCCCTCATAAAAAAGTGCTTATATTCAGACTTGTATTGTGTTCATTGCAGATAATGTGAAAACAAGGAATTTAGTTTTTCTACTAATAACGCATTTGTTTATGGAGCAATGAGGTATGGTTTCGTTTTCTAAAGGTATTTAGGTAAATATTCATATTTGTCTATATACTTTTGTCCATTACTGCAAATCCTTCTGCACAATTTCCTTTACAAAGGTCCACATTTGGCTATCTTGAGTGTTTGAAAAAAGTAATCCTAGTAGTTTTTGATATCCATATGAATTATTAAATTGGCATCAAAGACTATATAAATGAAACGCAAATAGAACAAAAAATATCAAGCATAGTTATGTAAATATGATCTGTGGAAATTCCACCAAAAAAAAATGACACCCTTTCCATTTCGAGCTGGTGGAATATATTATTATTTTCAGTTTTGAAAAATGGTTGGTTCTAGAAAGTGTAGCCAAGTCTGAAGGTAACATCAGACAAAGTTGAAAATCTTCTAGATCCAAAGAAATTTAAAGAAAAAATTGTTACAAACCTTTGGCAGACGATGCATTCTTCAGAGAAACACTCTTTACTGCGACTATGCTCTTACTTTTCGGATTAAAACACTGAAACACTTCAGAACTTCCTCCTTTGCCCAGCATATCCAGTATCAAATACGGGACTCCATTCACTGTTATCTGTGTAAATGTCTCTTTCTTAGGAGGGCTCTGAGGTATTGTGTACAAGCATCGCCTTGTCACTGAAGACTCATTGTTCTGATAAGGGACAGTTTTAGAGGCACTGCTTGAAACTTTCATGGAAACTTTATATGCGGACATACTATTCTTGTTAACATCTTCTCGACATAGGGGCATAGCAACTTTGGGTGTGGTAAAGCAGTGATCTGCAGGTTTCTTCGCAGGTGTTGAGATTGATAGTGCAGAGAAGTTCAGGTCAAAACTATCATTTAGATAATGTTTTGGTGCAAGATTTTCTTTATCCTGTATATCTACTGTTTTACTTTGATCGACATCTGTTTCAAAGGATTTGTTAGCTTCCTCCACATTTTCTGTTTGGGTTTTTACTGCAATTTCTGTATCTAGAATATCATGTTTTGATTTGCCATTGACCAGTATTTGTGGAAGGTTTGACTTTGATTCGTCTACACTTGCTGAAACTGCACTAGTGGTTTTTATATTAGGTTTTGGACTTTTATCGAACTTGCTGTCGACTGCTGAAGGACCGCACTTCTTCATGTTATCATCATAATGACCTGGCTGTGAGCTCTGGTTTATGTCAAGAGATTTCTCTGACTTTTCGATTTGTTTTGAAGACTCGCACAAACGGGAAGCATGTTTAATCTCCAAATGTTTTACCGGTTTTGTAGGTATGGTCATAGAATCTTCCGATTCGATAGCCTTTTTGATTTCTTCAAAATTTAAAGGGGCGATGTTTAATGTGGGTCTCGGGCGTATCCTCTGATGGTAGCTCAACGAACTCATCGTACCTCTTGTTGGAATTCCTTTGGCATTCGGAGTCATATCCGGGCAAGTAGTTGTAGTCGAATCCATTTTTATTTATATTAGAACATGCTTTTTCCTAGTAAACAAAAAACACTCATCATTTTCAAACAATCAAAAATCAACGGACGTTGCGCTTGACATAAGATAGACAAATGACAACATTGACGTTTCGGCATAGAACAGTTAGTAGAGAAAAGTATATGGATGCGTTTTATGATCCAAGCTTCAAGTTCGATCAAAAATCAATTTGGATTTTGCTGCCTCACTTATATCAGGTAATAATGAAAATACTGCCATACGAACTAGATATGGTCCGAGAAAGATAACATGCCCACGCAAGAAATTTTTGCCGAAATCGTTGCACAACACTTAAAAAGATGCAAATTAAAATTGGAAAATTGCCGCTTGGACATTATAATGAGTTCATCCGTACCCCGGGATAGACATCGTCTTGACAGATAACCTTGTCATTCTTGCCACCTGGATTGCAGCGCTGCCAGCTCATCGAACGATCTTGCGACCTCTGCTACTTTGATAGAATGTTATAAAAAAAAAAAAGGTTTCGAGTAAAATATTGAGCAATACCAATGGAGATATATAAAATTTGTGGCGTAGCTATGTTTGCCAAAAAACTAAACACAAGCTGTTTTTTCCATTTTGTGTCGCCTGGCGTCTATGCGGCGGGACGTTAATGCCTTAAAACATTTTTTAAATGCCCAGTTTTATAGGATAAAATACTTTTGAATACGCTACCAAGATCGAGGTTAAAAAGTTGTTTTGTTTTTTTTTTAGCTTTGTTATCTGACAGTATCACGAAGCGACTCGATGTTTACGTTGACCGGGAGCAGACGCGCGGAGTGGGAGCTGGAAAGGGGCATGGCTGTACAGCACTCACACGCTTCAGTCTCTCGGCAACCGTCGGCGCAGCGGAATGTCTACGCATTCACAGCTCCGTGCAGAGATCTATTCGGTTTACCTTCTCTGTTTAGTAGTGGTTTTCACTGTAGGGTTCTCGATTGTGTCTCAGTGGTGCGTTGGTGTTTTAGTGTTGTGGCGTGGGTGTCAAGTGTCTCCAAAGTGGAAATTAGGTCTACTTCCAACTCTTCTGAGGGAAATAGGATACATGTGCAGCAAACTAGGTGAGCCTTGCATTCTCATCTACTTGTGTGTTTTAGGGTTGACATCCTATGTTTTTTAAATAAATTGCGCACATTGCATACACTGAGAGATTAGTCATATACTGAGGCATTTGGGAAAAACTATTTATTTTTATCTGACATTATTTTAAGAAATGTCAAAAAACTAATGGCACTACATGATGGTGTTTTTAAATGTGCCCGAAGTGCACAACATTTAAAAAAGTACGACCCTGTATCTAATAGAATCTGTTTCTATGACTTCGACGATGTTTCACGTTACATTTGGTTTTTTTAAGTTGTAAACAAACTTATTTTTTCTATTCTTTCATTTTATTCAAGTAGGCATTGCAAACAAATGCTTGATGTAAGATTATGTGATTACTGAATTTAACCTAGTCTGATCCTTACCTTGGCCACCCTGTAATACATTATTATAAAAAGTAATTCACAGAAACGTGCACTAGTCTAACGTTCTTGTAAGTATTCTTATGTACTTACATCCATTTCTGAAAAATCTCAGAACTATTAGCAAAGCCACGAACTAAATACTATTTTTAGTTCAAGGAATTGGTGATAGTCTATAGTTGACAGTATCGTGATTTTGGCACTATGTTTACTAAATATGGTGCAAAAATCAAGCGTTTGATTCCCTGGCGTTTTCAAACCTGGAATCTCAGCTCCGTGTTTAGGAAACTACAATGACTTACCTTGGTTGTTGGAGGATACGTGGCCACCAAGTGTCCAACAAGAGTAGGGATCTGATGCGTCCAAAATGGGTCTGCCTGCAATTCCACATCATCGACGAGCTATAAGTTGGATTCAAGCTATCAAGCTGTCCAGTTTTAGCTTCCTCAAAATGAATGCTTAATATCTCTGCGTATAAGACGGATACTAATAAATAGTAGAGTAAAATGAAAATCGTACTTCTCCTATTAATGATCATTTAATTTTAGATCACATAGTTAATAAATATACTTATATGATAAAACGTTTTTTCCAATTGTTGGAGATGTAAATAAATACAGCTTTTTTGAGTTTTTTGACAAACATAGCTGCGCCTCAAATTTTATATATCTCCATTGGTATCCCTCAATATTTTATCCAAAACTTCTTTTTTTATAACATTCTAGCAAAATAGCAGGGGTAGCAAAATTGTCCGATAAGCTGGCAACGCCACAATCTAGGTGTCAAGAATGACAAGATCGTATGTCTATCCCGGGGTAACGACGAACCATTTAGTACGTCAAAGTGGTAGTTTTCCAATCTTCATTTTCATTTTTCAAGCGGTGTACAACGACTAGTAGAGTATATTTCAATTTGCGTGACCATGTTATCTTTACTCGGGCCCTAGATAGTGTTGGTTTCAATATTTTCTTGTATAAATTTTAACATCAACTTTCAATAGGTAATAGGACATTCAAATATCGATCTTTTAAAGAATCGAATAATAACGAACATCTCTAATATTCTTCCAGCATGTGGCGGTTTTTTGACGTTCAAAACACAACAAACTTAACCCAACTTTTCATGTCCGCCTTCCGGATATTCAAACAAACATCCACAAAAATGACTGAAAATGCAAAGCCTTTGGTTTTTAACATAATTGCAGAATGTCAGACCACGAAAGCAAGGACTAGCAAAATGATTTTGCCCCACGGAGAGGTGGATACTCCCGTATTTATGCCTGTAGGAACCCAAGTAGGAACGCACCAACATAAACACTAGACAATCTATTTAATAAAAAAAATTTCTAGGGTACTTTAAAAGGGATGCTTCCTGAGCAACTCGAGGAAATGGGCTTGCAAATTATGTTAGCAAATACGTATCATTTAGGAACACGACCAGTAAGTTTATAAAGTGGCAGCAATCTAGTACAGCTTAATGCTTCCAAAACATTTACTAATAAAAAGCGCCCTAGCATATATCCGATTTTGATAGATGTTCTGCCAGGAACTCCAGATCACTGCTGGCAATTAACCAGTATGACTACACCTTCATTCTTAGGGTGTCTAAATTATAGAACAATATTCCTGAGGAGACTTTATATTCTGCTAAACCCCTTATAGCAGTCATGGTACCTTTTGCTATTTAATATCCCTAGTATTAAATATACTGTGGTATAGTATGTATATATATATAACAAAAATAGGAAAATAATGGACAAAATCCGCAAAAAGTGGATTAGAGCAGAAAATAGGATAGGTTTCTGCTCAAATCCACTTTTTGCGGATTTTGTCCATTATTTTCCTATTTTTGTTATATACCTTTCTCCGAATGATAATTTTCTCTTTATATATATAGATAATCTTTTATCAGAAAATCAATTTGGTTTTCGCAATGGCATTAGTACCTCAGATGCGATACTTAAGCTTACCATGACCATTTCAAAAAATCTTGATCAAGAAAAGAAATGCATTGCAGCCTTCCTAGACGTTGCAAAGGCATTTGACACTGTGCCTTCTAGATGTCCTCGATATTTGAGGGATCAGGGGTGTTGTGTCGGAGGTTTTTGCGACTTACCTGACAGGTAGGGGGATACGTGGGAAAAGGGGAACGCCACACGGACTCATGTTTTATTTTAGTGTAATATATAAAACCCCTGTATATATCGCCATCACTTTGTAATATATTGTATAAGTTCTGAACCTGTATCTTTTTTTAAGGGGCCAAAAATACTGGAAAAAGCTGGGGGACTTCATAAATTCATGAACTGGAACCGAAATCTGCTCACTGATTCAGGGGGATTCCAAATGGTATCTTTACTGGAACTAGCAGAAATTACTGAAGAAGGTGTTAAGTTTCAGTCACTAAATAAAACAAAAGGGGAAGTGATGTTAACGCCGGAACATTCCATTGAAATACAAAATGCTATTGGAGCAGATATTATCATGCAACTGGATGATGTTGTACAAACCACAGTGCCTGATAAAGAACGGATTGCGTTGTCAGTAGAGAGGTGAAATATGATTAGCATATTTCTAGGTACATCTTTGAAAGAAATTGTACTGGAACCAAAAGGACTTCTAAAAGTGACCTATTTGTCACCCCAAATTAATTTAATAATTTTGATGATTATTTTCTACTTCAGCACCCTAAATTATATTGATATACATATACAGAGTTTACATTCACATATAGCCACAGAGAACAAATACAAATGTTGCATATGTAAGCCTGCATTATTTATCTGTTATCAAAGACGTAACTTCATTTTTTAATCCTTTTCAATTTTCTTCCGTTGTTTGCACTAATATGCATTGTAGGACAACAAGATGGTTGGATAGAGCTTTGAAAGTACACAAGAATCCTAATACACAGAACATTTTCCCAATTGTCCAGGGTACATTGCATGAAGATTTGAGAAGGATAAGTGCAAAAGATTTAACACAAAGGGTAGTCAATGGATATGCTATTGGAGGTTTAAGGTAATACCACAAAAACAAATATTCTTATTCTCGCCTTTTCTTGAAGAAAGTGGTCTAATTCGAAAAATGTTTAAAATTCTTGTGCAAAAAGGTGTTGCACTTTGGATGAAGTCATTTCATCTCAAAACGCTAACTATTTACGTAATTATATAGCGAATAATCAATTATAAATAAGCACATATTACAAATTATTCATATATATGCACATACATACTATTATTTGTTTGGTATTCTTAAATGGAAGTCTTAAATATTATTTAAGCAAGTGAAAAAATTTTCAGCCTTATCAGTTGGACATTCCGGTTTTTATACTGCTTTTTTTTTAATTCACTAACGCTCTAAAAATAAATATTTCAGCCGCAGTAAAGAATCAACGTTGGCGGATTTTGGTTCTTGACATCCTTTACGATCGGTTACGATGCCTAGAGTACGGAGACCTGTACGATTTCGTCAACTTAGTGAGTTTCATAGGGGCCGTATAATGGGACTTTGGGAAGCTGGACTTTCTTTTCGGGCAATTGCAGTTAGAGTGCAAAGAAGTGTAGACACTGTGGTTAGGTGTTGACAGGAATGGCTTCGAGAAGGCCGTACGCAAAGAGCAAGGGGCACTGGACGCCGCCGTAGAACAACAGACCGTGAAGATCGCCACCTAAGATTATTGGCCTTAAGGGACCGTTTCTCCACTACCAGGTCCATTGCAAATGAATGGTTTGCAGAACACGGAAGACCTATCGGCATGCGAAGTGTTTACCGACGAATGAGAAGTTTTGGCTTGTTTTCATACCGGCCACACTGGGTCCTCCCTTTAACTCGAGAACACCGACGTAATCGCCTTGAGTGGTGCAGACAACGGTCACTCTAGGATCAGGAATGGAACAGTATTATCTTTAGTGACGAGTCTCGATTTTGTTTAGGCATGCACGATGGTCGTGCCAGGGTTAGAAGGCGACGTGGTGAAAGGAGGAATCCACAGTTTTTTGTTGACAGACATGTTCATCACACTGTTGGAGTTATGGTTTGGGGTGCTATAGCTTATGGTTCCAGGTCACCTTTAATCTTCATCAGAGCTAACATGAACGCGCAGCGTTATATCCACGAAGTTCTAGAACCCCATCTTTTACCCTATCTTGACACCCTGGCAGATCCAACTTTCCAACAAGATAATTTCCGACCACATGTTGCAAGAGTCACAATAGACTTCTTTCAACATAATGATGTCACATTGTTACCATAGCCACCAAGATCTCCCGACTTATCCCCAATTGAGCACGTGTGGGATATGATGGGTAGGAGATTGCTCAATTTGCAACGTCCTCCTCAGACTCTAGAAGCACTTCGAGAGGAGTTGGTGGTTGCCTGGAATGCGATACCACAGGAGGGCATTGACCACCTGATCAGAAGCACAGAAGCATGCCTATTCGCGTTGGAGGATGCGTAGTACATCAGGGTGCATCCACACATTATTAAAGGTCAAAGGGCTTTAAAGCAGTGCAATCATTTTGAAATTTTTATCATTTACTTATTATGCTTCATTAAGTACTTATACAAAATTTTATTAAAATAAAACCATTTAAACTGGGTGTTCGGATTTATATGTCACTTAGTATATAAAATTCCTCATAAAGTTAATTACTTCACCAACCAGGGATTTTCTTTTCGTATCTCTCTCATTTTTCAAATTCAGCAAATTTGCTTATGTAATTTCCGGGATGGATAAGCTAATTTCTAGCTTTGAATACATCTCAAATAAGTGTATTTGGGACAAGAAACCCATGGGATTATGATCAGTACAGATTGGCACACAAATCCTCATATCAGAGCCAAGCATTATGACGTTTAGGCAACGCGTACAGCTACAAAACGAGTTCACAACAAGTGTACAACAGCTAGTGCTAAGTTGACATCTTTTAGAAAAACATAAAATGTAAGAAAAGTAACGACAAAATGTTACTTTTTGAGATACCCGTGCCGGACGCAAAGGAACAAATAAGTTTTTGTAGCCAAATCAAATGATTTATGTCGTATTTCTTGATTTAATATGGTCGTAATCATACACAAATCCTATAATTTGTCTCTTGTTTATTTCAAAGACGCCTACTCATTGGTTGATTTTGTAGCCTATTGACTTTCTTGCGCCGCGGCTTAATAATATCAAGCCTACGTCCACATAAATCAATATATTTATCAAAAACAATTTTAACACAAAAAAATGCCGTTATACATTTCTGATCCGCGAACTTGGTGTTACCATAAATTAATATATTCTCCAAGATGATCAACCATATGCTGTACTTGGGCGTTCACATTCAATTTCTTTATGACTAATGTGCTCCCTTGATCATGAACATGATCATCTGTTGGCCACTATTGAACTTCAAACAGTATGTATTCAGGTATATTTCGTAATAATACTTATTTTCAGTGGCGGTGAGAGCAAAGATGAGTTTTGGAAAATCGTACATCTATGCACAGATCTTCTTCCAAAAGATAAGCCACGGTATCTCATGGGCGTTGGATTTGCAATAGACTTAGTCGTTTGTTCTGCTTTGGGAGTGGATATGTTCGACTGCGTTTTCCCTACCAGGACAGCTGTAAGTGAAAGATGATCAAAAACATATAAAGTACCCGGAAACATATATTTTTTATGTCTTCGGACATACAGTGCTTTTCTTTAATGTCCTCCATCCCTTTTGATTTTTTGAACGGATCAATTCAAAAAATTAATTCTTGAGGTAATGAAATTGATGCGTGGATACAATATTTTAGAGTAAAATTGACAGATGAAAATGTCAAGATGGCCGCTGGGCGCCATCTTGGAAAAAAAATTATATGAAAGCGGGGGTCTTGTGGCACATCATTTTGAAGCTCCTGACGAGTACTTTATAACCCTAGAATATAAAGTCAATACCTTTACCTACTACGAAATGGTGGTACATTTAATAATTACTTGAACACAAACCCACTAACATGCATATCTCTACAAATAATTGTAATTCCCTGCCGTATCCACAGCAACAGCGATAAAATCTTGTATTGTTATTTTTTGTTGACAGTGGCAAGAATATCAGTATGAAAACAAACATCATTGTACAGTTAAAATATTCTTATTTTGTTTTCGGTTTTAGTGCTAGATACTGTTTGAACTATTTTTAAAATGGTCAGTTGCCGTCCAAGAAAAAATGGAAGCGAATTTTATATACAGCAGACGCTCGATAACGTAAACACGGGATAATGAAAACTTGCGCTAATGTAAACACAAACTTCGTTCTATGGGATCAAACGGAACGCGCGATAACGTAAACAATGTGTACGCTCGATAACGTAAACAACTCTCGGCGCACGGAAACAGCGCGACGGTAAAATGCTGAAGCCTCGATGATTTATGTCGGGCGTCGGGGAGTCCCCGATTTATGATGTAGAGTGTAGGGGATTCACCTCTGCGATAAAATACGATAAACTCGGTCAGTCCAGTCGTATGATCGTTTAGGATACGTTTATACGTACGTATTCCACATCCTATAAAAAAAAGTGTTTAAAGTTTAGTGAGAAAGTATAAATCATAGACGAAGTTGCACTAGGTGCAGGAGTGACACAGTTAGCAAAAAAATATGGAGTATCGAAAGCAACAATCTGTAAAATTAAGCGTATGAAAACTTAAATTTTACAAAGAGCGTGCAATACATTTGGAGGTCCGGGAAAAAGAAAAGCTTTAAAAAATGCGAAGGCACCTAAAATGGAAAATTCCCTGTATAAGTGTTTTTTAAAACAACGGGAAAATCATGTCCCAGTTAGTGGCGAAGTACTTAAACAGAGAGCGAGACTGTTAAATGAAAAACTGAAAGAAACTGAAAATTTCGTAGCTAGTGATGGCTGGCGACAACGATTCAAAACAAGATATGGAATTCGACTGCTGTCTATATCTGGTGAAAAATTATCAGCACAACCACAATTAGTGCAACCATTCAAAGAAAAATTGATGAAATTACCGAGCTAGATTTAAGAATGGAACAAATTTACAACGCAAATGAAAGTGGCCTTTATTGGAAAATGTTACCAGAGAAAACCTATGCTGCATCATTTGAAAAATCTGCCCCGGGAGGAAATCCGGAGAAACAACCAATAACGTTTCTAGCCTGCACTAATGCTAATGGTTCACACAAAATAAAGCCACTGGTAATTAGGAAAGCAAAAAATCCGCGCTCATTTAAAAATGTTAATATCCCTGTTGATTATGACTGTTCAAAAACCGCTTGGATGACTAGCAGTATATTCCTGAAATGGTTCCACAGGTGCTTTGTCCCTCAGGTATGACAATCAATTATCAAAAATGCTCTATTCATAATTTGAAGATGTGTTTTCAATTTGTAGGTAAAAGGTTTCCTAAAACAACAGAAGCTTCCAATAAAAGCGTTGTTACTATTGGATAATGCACCAAGCCATCCTCCCGAGCAACAACTGAGGAGCAGGGATGGGTCAATTTTCGTCATGTACGCCCAACGTAACACCGTTAATTCAACCGATGGACCAGAATATAATAAGACTCACCAAACTATACTATAGGAAGTTTCTACTTCCGTCTGTCTTATCAAAGAATCCTGAAAACTTATCTGAGGCTTTAAAAAAAGTAACATTACGAGAAGCTGTTTTAGATTTACATATGTCCTGGAATGAACTTAACCAGCAAACTATTCAAAAATGTTGGAACAATCTCTTTTGTACCAATAATGAAGATGATGAAGAAGACGATGTCCCCTTAAGCGTAATTAGAGAACGTTTGCGATCCAATAATGATAATGTTATTAGTGTGTCATTGGATGTTGTTGATTTATAGAAAACAGTGAATCCCAACATTGTTTGTACTCCTGCTGATATTGGGCTGAAAGAAAAGAAGTTTCATACACGGATATTTTAGTTCTTCGTAAATTACGGGCGCAGGCATTGGAAGACAATGCTAAGCGCAAATTTACGCAGATAAAAATTGTTAATTATTTTTCTTCTAATTAAAAAAATACTTATCGCTGTTAGAATATTTGTTTATTTTGTTATAAATAGTATGTATTAAACGTTTCTTTTAATAAATCAAATATTATATAAATCACGTTCACTAATGTAAACATTTCGATAATGTGAACCACACTTGGATTAAATTAGTTTACATTATCGAGCGTCTGCTGTATATACTTTTATCCCACCTTGATTTATTTTACTCAATTAATTCACTTGTATGTTGAAAGGCGTGCATCTTTAGGGGTATATATTGTTTTATTTTGTGGATAGACATTTTATGGGTTAAGTGATAAACGTCGCCAAATAAAGACGATTTATCATTATCTTTGTACATTTTTATGAAAGATTGTCTTTGGGCCCACTGCCTGACAATAACGAATCTATCTCTTTTCAGCGTTTTGGTTGTGCCTTGACAATGACAGGACAGCTCAACTTGAGAAAAGCTCGATTCGCCAAGGATTTCCAACCTATAGACGAAGACTGCACTTGCAACACGTGTAAAAGATATACAAGAGCATTTCTTCATGGAATAGTAACAGAATTGCCTGTGGCTTGCCATTTGCTCACGGAACACAATCTGGCATTCCAACTCAGACTTATGAAAAGTATCAGGGATAGTGTTTGTGAGCAACAGTTTCCTGCATTCGTCCAGAAGTTTGTTTTTGACTTATATCCAGATAAAAATTACCCTAGTTGGGTCAAAGATGCTTTAACAGCTGTTAACATAAAACTTTTATGATAGTATATGAACATGGAACAAGATGTATTAGAATGAGACCTGCCAGAATTGCATCATTTTATGAAAAGAATAAAAAATACTACTTTGGATAGTGTATGTAGGAAAATATAGGTCAAGTTTTTTATATTTAATGGTAAAATATTCGTTTTTGTAAAATGGTGTAGGTCCCGCAATTTTTGGATTGAGGACCAAAAGATTTTATTTATTTAAGAAGTACTAAGTGAAGTAATTACAGGGCATTTTTGACTTTATCAACTTTTTAATTGTGTAACAATTTATTGTAAATATTAAATTAAAGTCTCAATATAAAATGGAATCATGAAAATACAGTGTCTCATTTCACTCGAACCGGCTACATGAAATCATCCGAATCATTTCCATCATCATATTTGGACATATTGTCAGAACTCATCAACGAATTGTAACTTCGAAGCTCTGCTTCTTCTTTTTTTCGTTTTTCCTCTTCTTCCTCTCTCTTCTTTTGTTCCCTCAAAACCTTTTTCTTGTCTTCCCTTTCTAACCTGTCCCGTTTTTCTCTCTCTGCTCTCAAATCTGAAGAAAACGATGCCAATTTTGTATCACGGCTGTCAATAAAATGGATCACTTTAATGTAAATGGGAAAGTTCACATTTCAAATTTGAATTGCGCGAGGAAGTGGGAAGGTCTCGATCGACGCGTTCGGCGTGCGGGTTAAATAGTCACAATCGAACGTTGGACCGGAGCGCAACGTGCTTTTGCTACCGAGGCTTACTTTAAGAGTGCTGATTCATTCGCCGACCAAGAGATGCTTCAAGTAAGAACCTATTGAAAAAGTGGATTAAGAGATTCTGTGAAACACGCTCTACCCTTAGTCAACTCATTCCTGGCCCCACCCCTACTGTATCAACCGAAGAAAATGTTTGCCGAGTAAGTGATTCGGTCATTACATATCCTCAGCGTTCTGTACGGAAGCATTCCGCTGCTTTGGGAATTCCTAGATCAACACTGCATGGCATAATGAAAAAAAAAACAATGGGTTTTCATCCTGATAAAATACAATCAGTCCATGCTTTGGAGGAAAGTGATTACGTATTATGGAAATCTTGTGCTATTTCTTTGAAGATGAAAATTGTCATGCGTTGACAGTCAATTCTGAGGACATGATTGACATTTTTTTCTCCCATTGTAAGAACAGGTACGTCGATTTAACAGAAACATATGGTTTCAACAGGATGGGGCCACTGCCCATACTTCCAGAGAATTGACGGTCACAGTGAAAGCTCTTTTTCCTCGAAAAGTTATATCGAAGTTTGAAGACATTCACTGTCTTCCTAGGTCACCCGACCTCACGCCATGCGATTATTTTTTGTGGGGTTAAGTCAAAAGTGTATTCCACGAACACTGGACGAGTTTAAAGACAACATTTGTCAAGAAATAAAAAACATCATTCCGGAACTCTGCAAGTGAGTGTTTCAGAATTTGCGCGTGCCATTAGAAGACTGTGTCCAAAGGGATGACAAACATTTGGATGGAATTTACGAATATGTTGATAGTAATTAATATTTTCTTTTCATTAGGTTCGTATTTTTTTCTTAAATCAAAAAGTGAACTTTTCCACTGGTATTTTTAAACAGGGTAAAATCTTGCAGTATAATCACTCGACAAATTAGGTCAAATTTTTAAAGGGTTATTTTAACAAATAAGAGACAACATTATGTCATGTCATGCTACAATGTAGTATATGCCAACTCAATTGTATGGCCGCCATTTGATAACTCTCTAATTATGTCTAAGAACACTTTTATAAATTTCTATTTCTATCGCCTATTGTCTCTTCATGTTTAAAGAAATAGAACAAGCACTATCTATTATCAGAATTGCGCTCTGCCGGATTGAATAGCACAGCTATCTGATTTAACCGGAAAGGTATCCGAGTTTTCTTGAAAGCCACTAAAACTAAGACTTGTGCTATGTTTTTTCTTTCAACTTATTACAGTTTCTTTCTATGGTTGACTAAAAATTAACTACATGATAAAGTAAATTATTAAAGCCGTTCTTTAAAATAACAAATTTTATTTTTAGCAATAAAACACTTCTCCTGGTCCAATTTAATCCCAAAAAATCATCATTTCAATTATGAGTATCAAAATATAAACCACTTTTTTCTGAATAGCATTATTGTTACCTGGGTTCTCTTCCTTTTTCGTCTTGTTCAGCCTATTCACAATATCATTGATCCTTTTCGCTACTCTAATTTTCCTAACTTCTTTTTCTTTGTGAAACCCTACTTGTCCCACTTCCATAGCGGGTGTTTTCTTCAAGTTGTACCACATCGTATACACTATATCAACATCATTCATTTTGTTGCCCATAATACTATTTGCTTTTACTAGCTGTGCCGCATCTTCCAAGACTGCTGAGGGTATATCGTCTAACGTTTGACCCTGAAAATGGATACCGAAATAACAAATCTTTATGTGTACAGTAACCCACTAAAAATACCCAGCACAAAGAACCATATATTATTCTGATAGAGGATTTTTGCTATGCTTTCGTTCCTTTGCCACTTGAGACCAAGTCAGATCATGTTGATGAGTGTTAAAAAGCACAAAATACTGTCCATGTTTGGCTGTCTGTGGTCGGACAGAAGACAGCAACATGTTAAATGAAATTAAAAATTATGTTGAACTTTTGGGCGAGTAATATGCCTCTAAGAGTTCGGCACACGTTACAAAGCACTGCCAAGCCCCTTTGTTTATTGACACATGGAATTAATGAATGGCTTATACTTACGGGTCGTAACCTCAAGTAAACATGAGCGGAGGAAACTTTATCCACATGAAACCACACATCTTCCGGCCATCCCCATTTAATCAAGTCTTCATCTGCAAATTGTAACTTTAGATAACATAATACACAGGTAGAAATGATTATTGTAACATACTTTCATTTTTATCTATACCCATAAAGAGTACAGCTGGCGGTGAGACGGCCGTGCTTTCAAAATAAACCACCATTTTACCGGAACAGAAAGTATCCAAATTTCACATTTAAAAATCAGAATTGCAGGTTAGAAATTTGATGCAACTTTGACAGCTTTGATATTGACAAATATGATTCATCATACGTACGCCTAAGCTGTTAGGCAACCAGTAAACCCCTATGCTATACAGGGTGATTCACAAGTCGTGACGAAAAATAAAACATCACACACACAGTGGCGGGTTTAGAGGGGGCGCGCGCCCCCCCTAGACGTCTGACACTTGCTGTTGTGATCTAACACCATTGTGTTACTTTCTGACACATCATGGCGACAGAAGCATACTAACTATAAGTTATAGCTATAGGAACTGAGCATTGCGATTTTTTGGTATTCCAAATGCTGATCCTCTTTGGCATCACTTGTTTACAACACAATTCTTACGATTTATACTTATATACGAGTATTGTGACTTGTGACAAATCTAAGTCTGGGTACCTAATATATTAGCTATACAGATTGCACTTAAAAGGTGATTAATGTTCTGTTTATTGCTCACTAGTAATTTGAAAAGTGTGTAAAGGTTGACTGATTTTGTTTGGGATTGGTGTTGCACCGAAGCACTATGTCAGATAAACGCCTAAATTGGAAATAGACATTTATGAGAATTGTTTAGCGGTGCGCCTGTGGCCTGCCCAGAAACTGCGTCGATCTATGCTCAAAGTCAATACCACACGTCGCGCATCTCTTCTCGCGTGTGTTATTTATGTTGCTATATTGAATTCGTTTAAATCACAGAGCTGCTGCACTACACGTGAATATGCACAGCCCTATATTCCTGTACGTACAAACATACATTATCAAAATAATTACGATCTAACAGATAGTTTTTTCCAATGATTTCCAACATCTTTACATGCGATCAATACCGGTTCGAAAACTGAGAAAACAACAACTATCTAAGTTCGACAACAAAAGTCTGAAAAAACCCCAACCCCTACTGAGCGGGGCGGTGGCAAATGCTGGTTCCGGAAGTTGTTGTATCCAGTATACAACTTCTTCCCGTTCAAGTGATTGTACACGCGCTAAGGAATACGTCAGTACGGATTGCCGGCTGGCGGTACAAGTCCGTCAAATGGCTACTTTAGCTCTATCTAATATCATTAACACGCAAAAAGAAGGTGGTAGACAAGGATCAGTCGATCGAGGCGGTACCACCCGCTAGCTTTTCCCAGGGTATCTTATAAATGTCCGCATGTTTCCACACCTATGCTATGAAGCGGTTATCTTCCAAAACAAAGAAATTAATGATAGTGGATAACTCGAGTACTAAGAATTTCGGATGTAAACTCACTCCATTCTCGGAATGGACGGGTGGAGGGTGGACTCGAGGGAACATCGAAGACAAATTTTTTTTCCCAAATTACGAGGTGCACTCCAATCTGAGAAAGAACGGGGGAATTGTGGTCTTTGTCCGCAGCAGTCTTTCCTGCTGCAGAGATGTTTCTCTGGAATCAGACCGGAAGGACATTATGTGGCTTCGCCTCAACTCCAAAACACCCCCCAAATTTATTTGCTGCCTTTATCGCTCTTCCTCGGACCATAACTGGGATGACCTTCAAGATCGACTTCCTGAACATCGATCATCCTGCTTCAGAGGTAGTTCTCCTCGGTGATTTCAATGACCATAATTCGCTTTGGTTGGGCTCAAACAAGACCGATGCAGCAGTTGAAGCGTTCGCTCCTACTCAAGAGCTGACCCAGCTGGTGACGGGCCCTACTTTTTTCCCCCGCATCTAGTCACATGCCAGTAGCCTGCTGGATCTCTTTCTGACCACGCATCCTGTCCCTTACAGCACTCCTGTCCCCCCTGGATAGCTCAGACCACGGTGATGTGGAGGTTAGGTTTCGGTCAGAACTCGCTGTGGCAGCAAAAACTCGCACAGGCCGCAAAATTTGGCATCACGGACAAGCCGTCTGGGAGGGGCTCAGGGACTTCTTTTCTACCTTTCCTTGGAGAGATGTCTGTTTCACTGACGCGGATGCGTCGGCTGTCTGTTCTTCGATAACCAAAATTATCCACGTCGGGATGGAGGAATACATCCCTCATACAGTAAAAGTGCCTAAACCAGGCTCACAGCGCAATGGCAGTCAGTCTTTCTGGACGCTGGCCAAGCAGATTGAAAAGAAACTCTCACACAGCAGCCTTCCACCACTTACGTTAATTCTTCGGAAAAGCTAAGTATGAGTTTGCATTTAAACCAGACATTTCTAGAAAATATGTGTTGAAACGAGTGGATTCGTACAGAACGGGGATTTTATAACGACCAAATATGTTCATTATGAGAATGAGAAGGTTCCACTCCTCGTAAAAAGCGATTCATCTGACCACAAAACCAAATCAACAAAATCTGCATTTTGATTGTGGATTTAGAGTAACCGCTCACGAAAATTTCGCCGTTGCAGGAATTGCACATTTTACCGATTTAAATTTCTCCACGCTAGACTTTGGGAAAATGGTAACTGGGCTGCAACCGGCATAGTACTTGTACTAGGATCATGCAACGCCAAATTAATCACTTCCGGTTCCTCTTGAACAGTATGCCGGAAACTATCGCCTCTATATTGCCCCATTGAAGGTAAAAATCGAAAAACTGCGCGTTTCGAAATAAACAGTGGCGTACTGTTTTTATTTTGAAAAATAATGCCATTAATCCCCTGTATCTCCGCCACTGGTGAATCCACATACCAAATTTTAGTGCATTACAGTTGACGGTTTTGAAGGTATTAAAGAAATGTTTTTTATTTTTAAGCTTCAACACGCCCTCGAGGGAAAAATGTTACATAGAGGACCTCCCTCAAAATGCGGTCCTGTGTATGATGTTTGATTTTTGGTCACGACTTGTGAATCACCCTGTATGTCTAGGTATAGTCCAGAAACTTGGCATCTGCTGGAAAAATAATCTGATTCGCTTTTTTGCATTATGGCATTAACAAATGAGCACCTATTAGGAATCTGCATGTTGTCAGGCCCAACATTCTGTCAAAGATTGTTTAAACAACTTTTTGAACTAATTCTAAGAATCGCGTTTTTCCCTCTGAATATATTTTTTTTATTTCTCGATAAAAACAAGGATCTTATGAACCGTCAATGTAACATCTGAATCTTATCCTATAGATTCATGTCGAAAATCTCCCATGTTTGTTTGGTCAATCAAACAACATGTGTCTAGAATTCTTCTTTAATTGTTTACGTTTCGGTCACAAAAAAAAAGTGTCATTTGGACTGAGGTAGATCATCGTTTGAACCGAAACGTAGATACCTATTAAAGAAGAATTTTAAACACATGTGGTTTGGTTGGCCAGACAGACGTAAGGGATTATGAACTTTTCTCAGGAGTTGGTTTTCGAGATATAAACGATAAATGACTGAGCAGGCACCGACAAGCGAAAAGATGCGTAGCACGGCACGGGTGTCACGTATCTTGAAAAGTGACATTATGCCGATTTTTTGACATTATGCTGTTTTTTCTGACATTATGTAGGTTTTTCTATAAGATATTAACTTAGCACTTAGGCCTGTATCGTCAGTCGTCTCTACAATTGTAGGGCGCGTTTATGGCCTCCTTGATTGTCATAGTCCTTTCTCTCCTTTAAAAATTTCTAGATTACACTTGTCCCGTGTCAGCGTCAGCGCTCTCCTATTGTGAAAATATGTTTTCTTTTTAAATTGTAGGAAATTTCATGCTGATAAAACATGATATAACTCAAAAGCAAGCACAATTTGATGCAAATAGATGTTTGTGACATAACCTCAAAATAGAGTTCTGACACGGAGAAGTAGAAAACTATGACAATCAAGGAGGCCATAAGCACGCCCTACAATTGTAGGGACGACTGACGATACGGGTCTTAGTTGTACGTGTTGCCTAAACGTCATGAGGCTTGTTATCAATCTGTGGCTCTGATGTGATGTAAAATCTGCTTCTGAGATGGCATTACTGTAGGTCTAAGCTGTAAGTTGTATGTGTTTTATTCACTGTATATTCATTTCCCGTAATTCTCCTCAGTTTTTCGTAATTTATAACTTTGAACATAACCTCTCTTCAGAAAGCACAACATAAAAATAACCCGTCGGGCACAGTCAATAGATATACTTCATTGGCAGCATATTCAGTAATGATTTTCTCACACAACAAGTATCACTGATTTTATACACATGCAGACCAATACACATAATCATCCAGATATGTGATCTTGCTATTCAACCAACTTTCTTCTCAGAGATAAAAACTACAGACAAGGACTATTTGGTCTCACAAAACATATGCAACCAATAATGCGTGTAGTTTAGTTGACTGATTCCTCCATAGATGGACGTTCACAATGATCCTAGTGAGCAAACGTGGAATGACTGCTTGCACCCTAAAAAACTACCTAGTCTGCAAGTCGACATCTTATAGGTTTTTCTGACGATTTGTAGGTTTTTTACATGATACCCGTGCCGGTGCTGATTTTAATTTTGACGTGGAGTAAAAATGAGGTTTGAATAGACTTTTGTCATTTCATTCACTTTAATAGCAGGAGATGGAAATAGGGCTTTTTTACAAAGTTCCATCAATAGAAACTGCTATCGTAACTATTTCACAAAGAACGATCATACGCATCAACAGATCTGTAATCTTTAATCTATCCCAAATTATCGTTCTCGACTTAAACTACAATAATTGTTATTACTACCCACTTCGATTGGCATCAAGTTAGATCAGCGATCATTTTATCGAACATGAAAGACGTTGAAAGCTCTTATTATGTATTTCAACATGGTTGAATAGATCATAAAACAGCGTGCATTGTACGATATTGGCTAACTATAGAAAATATAAATTTATCGAATTGCAAAGAAATCGGTGTCTTCCTTCAAAATGCATAGTCTTTTGCAATAGACTGGAATTAGGTAAAATTTGGAATTTGTGCAACGTAGAACCGATATGGCGAGAATAAGTAGCTAAGTAACGAAGCCAAAAAGTAGTGTAGTGTGTAGTTAGGCATAATGTCTATAAAATATACTGAGTGACATATAAATCCGAACACCCAGTTTAAATGGTTTTATTTTAATAAAAGTTGGTGAATGTATTTATCTTACTGTAAATAACAAGTGAAAAAA